GATCATCCAGTTCCAACACCCCTGCCATGGGCAAGGACGCCTCACACTAAACCATGTCACACAAGGCTCTATCCAACCTGGCCTTGAACACTGCCAGGGATGGAGCATTCACAGCTTCCCTGGGCAGCCCATTCCAGTGCCTCACCACCCTTACAGTAAAGAGCTTCCTCCTTATATCCAATCTAAACTTTCCCTGTTTAAGTTTTAACCCGTTACCCCTTGTCCTGTCACTACAGTTCCTAATGAAGAGTCCCTCCCACCTCTCTATCGAGCTAGGTGACAAGGCCAGGGGAGAGTCACACTGCAGCTGGCATTACCAGATACCAAGCTGTGGGTGAGGGTTTGTACGTGTGCCTCAGCCATGGCTCTCTGTGTGTTTCTTTGGGCACTGGAGCCAACTGAATCAGTCCCAGGTCACTTTTCCCTCCCACAGTGTTCCTGCAGTCCCACTGGTACGTGCAGCCTCACAATGCACCATGTTTGGGAACTTACTAAGAACAGAAATATCACTGAGTTCCTTGTTGTGGGGTGTTTCCCTTGGCACCCCCACCAAAGACAGGGAATGCTAAACAGCTCTCAGGTCTCCAGAGCTCTGTTGCCCTTCTGTCAGTATCAGGTACCCGCCAGTTCCACCTTTCTATGCAAAGCGAGGCCATGTGTGAGCACACACCTGGCTCTGGGTAGTGATCAGAAGCACACATGTGTCATAGTGATCATCACTCATGATCATTTAACTACCATGAGTAAGGTATAAAGCCATTTCCTTCTGGTCTTACCAGCTTTAGCTGCTGTCCAGGGCAGGCAAAGAGATTGTATTGGAAATTTTTCTGGTCTTTTTTTCAGGTCATTTTTCATTTTTGTTTTCTCAAAGTGCTTTTTTCCCATAACCAGAATGATCTTCCCATCGTTTTGAGGGTTAATTGCCAGCAGGCAAAGGCTGTTTACCTCTTTTAGAAACCCCAGTTACAATCTAACCAGTGAGCCCTACAATGGAAAATACACAGCAAGACCTCCTTGAGCTGCCCATCTGTCTATGAGCTTTCCTTAGCCAGTTCTCATTTTCTTTTGGATTTGGGAGTGTAATAGGAACAGCTCAAAGCAGTTGCTAGCAGTGATGGCCAGCAGTTTCTGTGGGTAAGTAGATGGAAGTCTGTTAAAATGCAAAGCTATATAGTTTCTGGAGATTCAGTAGGCCAACGAGGTGTTGCAGGGTAACTGCATGGTGTGTCATGAGGAATTGCACTGTGCCTGTTCTTTGTTTTTCTTCTGTATTCTTGGCAGGAAAGCCAGGGCAGATTTCACATAGTGCAGGAGCATGTATGTGCACTGGGCACTTGTTGAGGGAAGGTGCAAGGTGGGCGCTGTAACCGCAGACGTGGTCAGATGCAAAGGATGCTCTATTTTATTTTCCTTCCATCTAATTTTTATTCCCCAGAAAGTGTTGTGTAGTGATGGTGCTCCAAACTTAGGACTTTCTAATGAGTCTCCCAGATTTTTCTGCTTGCATCACTATCCTGCCTTCAGCAGTGGGAAAAGGAAACAGCACAGCTTCTGAGTTCCTTTGTGATTAGTGCTGGTTGCCACTCACTGGGAAGCATGTTTCATCCAGGCAGCTTGCGCACCGTGAGCTCCCTCCTGGGGCTGCTCTCACGGTTGTCATTCCTGGCTCCCTTCTCTCACCTTGCCCTAGATATGTTTATTCCAAGTAGCATGATACTTTTCAGTCACATTTTTAAAGCTTCACATAAGGGAGGAGAGGCAGGAGCTGAGTTGTCTCCTTCCAGTAGGCTTGCTCGAGTTCTGCTGTTTGCCCAAGCCAGCTGCCCTGCTTGTTTAAAAACCAATCCATCCTGTTGGCGACTGGCCCTGTGGTATGTGCCTTTGCTGAAGCAGTTTTCAAAGAAGGGTGAAACACCTTTAAAGGAACTGTTGCGTTTAATCTTCAGCAAAGCCAAAAGGCAGATCCTGGGTTCTTTTGGGGTTGCGGATGTATTGCAGAATAGAGACATCAAAAACCTTTTGCAGGAGGGAAGCCCTGCCACAGTTGAAATTCTGGTAGCTTGGTAAGATCTCGAGGGGGAAGAAGCATAAGGGCTTCACACAATGCCACTTGGCTCACTGGGCAGCTTTCAGTGTCCCTCCTGGCAGGTCAGGCTGGTCCACTCCAGCTGGGCTGAGTCAGTGTGCTGGAAAACTGTACTGCAAGTGAGATTGACTAATTGAATTGTAATCCATATTTTTAGACAAACACTGAGCATTAAGGTATTTAATTTACCAGCATCTTTTCAGGACAGATTGCCAGTCATCTTAAATCAGTAATATGTCACCAGCATTTCCCAGGAACCCAGTTTGTGCTGAGTCTTCCCTTTCTAAAGCCTTGTCAATACAGAGAAAGTACTTAAATTATCTCAATTCTGTTCCAGAGCAGCACTTTGTCCAGCCCTTTGCTTTTTAATTGGGAAAAACCCGTCTTGCTATTCCAGGATAATATCCACACAGCTGGTAATTAAAGTAATTATCCCAACATGGTTTCTTCTGCTATGGCTGTTCTGGTTTCTGTCACAGGCATGGGAAGATGACCCGAGGAGATGCGCTGAAGTCAATTGACTTTAAAAGGGGGGAAGAGAAAGTCTGTACAAAATTTTTCTCAGAAAGGCATGTCTGAGAGGAAGAGTGTTCTATTAGTGTAGCGTACAGTAGTTGCACACACATACTAATCACACCCAACTGGGAGTAAGTTATGCTGATAGAAACTCTTTATTGCAAAGTGATGTTAAAGTCCCATTAGTTCTACAACACTGAAATGTGCAGATTTCATCTCGGAGCAGATCTGTGCTGTGGCAGAGCTGACAGCCCAACATGATCTGCAGAAATGTTTGGTCTGTGACATTGGTCAGCCCCACTCTCTCTCACCTGTATCAGTGCCCAGGGCAAATACGGGGGGCGGGGGATATTTAAAATTTATTTCTGACAAATTTGCATCACATTTGTGGATCTTTCTTCCTTCCATTTGCCATTAATACTAAGATTTCCTTCCTCTGGAGCAGGCACAGGTTGTTACAGAGGGATTGATAGGGTCTTTCTGAGAAGGCAGCTTGTTTTGTAAGGCAGTTAAGAGGAGTAATGAGATTGTATCAATGTGCTGAATGGAAAAGCCTACGCGCGGCCATACGGATTAGGGCAGGCTGGTGAAGCAGCAAATGGGCCTATGCACTATTGCACGTGGAGGACCTGAGGAGCACAAGCTAGCAGTGATGTACAGCCTGGCACTGTATATGCCCTGTGCACCCAGGGTCTGTGCTTCCTTCTAGACAATACAAAGAGATCAGATCAGTGACAGTCCTGGGAAAATCTTAGTGAAATTACAGATCCCAAGGACGAGTGTCTTACTGAGTGTGTACTGCTTTGAAATATACTTGTGCCTAGATCCCAGGGACAGCATGTCCTCTGTGCAGTGCTAATGTCATGCATATATAGCTGGTCCCACTGATTAATGCGAATTCTCAGCACTAGTTTTCCATTAATCCAGAGAGCTGGGTTTTTTTCAGCTAAACCTGCTTCAGAGAGCAGCTGATATTTCTGCAGTCACTGCAGACTGATGGCTGATACTCTGTGGTTTCCAGCAAGTGAAGTCCTCTAAAAATGCATCAGTTGGAGAACCTTGCTGCTGGGAAGGCGCCTTGTTGGCCTGCTCAGTGCTGTCAGCTGCTGTGGGGGGCCTTGTGGCTCTTGCTTTAGATGGAGACTATCGGGAATAGGGAGACGGTGCACTTAATTCCAGTAGCATTTTTTGTTTGTACAGTATATATTGACAAGAGAAATATGGAAATGAGTTCTACATTTGAGGAGCGAGCTATGAGTTACCTGGTAGTTGTTTTAGGAGTAAAACATGAACTGTGTGAATAGAATAATCCGGGATGCTACCCCGTGTTTAAGAGGAGCTGCTGTGTCCAGGGGGGAGCAGAAGCACGCACCATTACCGCTTGTTTGCTGGGCGTGTAGGGTGCGAATCACAGCGGGTTCATCCCACGGGTCCCAGGGCCGTTTGCCGCTCCCGGAACCTGCGTTTGGTCTGAATTCAGCTCCGGGCCGCCGCGGGGTGGGGCTGGCGGCCGCTGGGCTCTGGGTCCGCGTCTGCCCGGGCCGGGGTTGCTGGGCAGGGGAGGGGAGGGGCGAGGCCTCTCTTCCGTCACGGGACGCCCTTCTCGGGGGCGGGGCCGGGGGCGTGGCCTTCTTATTTGGGGCCGGGCTCAGGTGTGGTGGCGCAGCCATGCGGGCGCGGGGCGGGAGCCATGCACTGGGAGCGTGCGCTGCTGCTCCGCCGCAACAAGGTACTGGTACCGTTAGCGGGGCAGGGGAGGGGGAAGGAAGGGAGGCGTCGGGGCTCGGTCAGCGTGCGCGGTTCCTGCGGGATGGAACAGCGCTTAACTTGGGAGCTAACGGCGGGGTGTGTCCGGGCAAGTGCCGCCTGCCGCGGCCCCTGCTCTCAGGCTCGCCGCTCAGGAGCGGGCTCCGGGGGGCTCTGTCTCTGCTTTAAGCTTTGGCCGTAGTAGACCCTCTGGTTTCCCTAAGTCTCGTCGTTGTTTTCGTGCAGCAGGTGAAGCCCCGGTAATAACCTGGGTTTGCCATAAACTGATGTGCGTGGGTTTTGCTCTTCCACAGTTACCTTCCCTGTCTTTACTCACCAGCTGACAGAGCTGATGGCTTCGCACCAACACTTAAAAGAACTCAGCCTGCCGAACGTGGGTGCCGTGTCTTTATCTGAGTTGAGTTTTTGGTGGTTTGAGGCCGTTAAGCTGGCTTAAGTACAAAAGGTTTTGCTTTTTCCTCAGCTTTTACTAGGTGTCTGTGAAGCACATGAAGCTCAGTTGGGCAGCTGAAAAAGGGTGCATTTCTGCAGAATTACATCTGCTTGTCAAGTGTGTTAGAACAAAGAAGGAATGGGTTTATATTAGTGAAGCTGGTGATTAGCACTTACATGTCTCTCTCTCCTCGCCTAGATTGAGCGGTTGGACGTGAGCAGCTTAGCACAGACCTCCAGTGCCGTGGCCTCAAGCACTGATGGAAGCATCAACGCAGACTCTGTTGATGGGACCCCAGATCCTCAGCGTACAAAAGTGGCTATCACACACCTGCAGCAGAAGATACTGAAGTTGACCGAGCAGATCAAAATTGAACAAACAGCCCGTGATGACAATGTGGCAGAGTACCTGAAACTGGCCAATAACGCAGACAAGCAACAAAGCGCCCGCATTAAGCAGGTGTTTGAGAAGAAAAATCAAAAGTCAGCCCAAACTATCTTGCAGCTGCAGAAGAAACTAGAACATTACCATCGAAAGCTGCGAGAGATTGAGCAGAATGGGATCCCTCGGCAGCCGAAGGATGTCTTCAGGGATATGCATCAGGGTTTGAAAGATGTTGGAGCAAAAGTCACTGGCTTCAGCGAGGGAGTAGTAGACAGTGTGAAAGGTGGGCTTTCCAGTTTCTCCCAAGCCACACATTCAGCAGCAGGAGCTGTGGTTTCCAAACCCCGGGAGATTGCCTCCCTCATAAGGAACAAGTTTGGGAGTGCAGACAACATTGCTAATCTGAAAGACTCCTTAGAAGAAGGCCAGGAAGATGGGACAGGAGGCAAGGCTTTAGGTGTTATTCAGAACTTTCAGTCAAGCCCAAAATATGGCAGTGAGGAGGACTGCTCCAGTGCCACATCGGGTTCTGTGGGAGCCAACAGCACAACAGGGGGCCCTGTGGGAGCTTCTAGCTTCAAAACAAACACTCTGGATATGCAGAGCTCAGGGTTTGATGCAATACTGCATGAGATTCAAGAAATTCGAGAGACACAGACAAGACTGGAAGAGTCATTTGAGGACCTTAAGGTTCGCTATCAGAGGGACTACTCGCTAATAATGCAGACGCTACAGGAGGAGCGGTACAGGTAGGTGCTTTGGTACTGTGTTTTAAATGAAATACTGCAAGTTGCAGGGCACCAGTCCTGGACAGGACTACTCAGAGGGTTGTTCCCAGCAGCCTGATTCAGATGGGAAGCTCTGTGGTCTTAGGATTTCGCTCTTCCAGCTTTGTCTTTTGTCAATATTGTTGTCTTGCTGCTCGTCTCCCTTTCCGTATAAGAAAGAAATAGCGAGGAAATTAGGTTACTTTGTAGTGTCTTCAAGATACAAAGTTAAACCTAAGCGGTTTAGAACAGTGTCCCAAAAGGCCAGGAATATATTGATGCAGTTACTGTTATCCAGACAGAGCATTTCCCTGCAAAAACCTTGCAAAGGTTTGCGCCAAGGCGAGAGGCAGGGAACTACGTGTGGGAAGTATCCTGACCTGCCTCCTCCAATGCTCAGATCCATGTCTGCCAGAGAAAGAAAGATCCAGCTTTCTTAGGGTTCTCAAAAAAAGACATGGTCTTGCTGAAACTAGATTATCCTCTTCCCTTCTGCACTCAGGCCCATAGAGGCAGGGTTCAATGAAATCAAATGAAATTAAATGCTAATATTGGCAGTGCTCTTGTCCTGGAGGTCACTTGGCTCTCTAAGTGGGTAACCTGTGTTTCTGTCAGCCTTCCCCTTGCTGAAAGGAATGGAAGGGCCGGGGAATTACTGCAGTACTGCTGTTCCTGATCTGGTCACAGAGGAGAGGTGATGGAAGAGTGTGGTGTGGCAGCCAGTTCCTCCTGCCACCTCCAGGCTACCCCCACCTTCCTGCCAAGGAAGGCAACCCATGGAGAGGTTCCAGGGAACACTTCCCCTTTCCCTTCCTTGTTGGGTGGGAGAGAGCTTTCAGCAGGCTGCCCGCTGTCCATATCTTGCGTCCTCGCTGTCACACACTGGGAGCAAGGGCTTGTCCCAGGCTCCAGAGGGAAGAGTTACCAGCTGCCATTCTGTAGCCATTCAGGACACTGCAGTCCAAATCAGCGGGATTCTTAAGCTGCACTGCTTAAACTTCAGACAACTGCAAGGGGCCTAAGTCCTCATTCTGATGGAGGACAGCAGGCTTGTGTAATAGGTTGCTTATGGCCTTTGTCACTTTGGCCAGGCTGTGAGGCTCAGCAGAGCTGCTGGGTGTGGGGACAGGTATTGTGTGCCACTTGCTGCGCTGGTTTGCACAGCACGACATGAAGCTGTCCTGCAGCTTTTTAGACAAACTGGTGCCAGATCGTTGGAAAAACATTTGGAAAGGCTTAGCCTGATAGGATCTTGTAGAGACAGCAAGCTTTCTGTGTGCTTTGCAAAGCTTAGATAGACAAAGCCAGCCCAACACCACTTCCTAATCCTGCTTTGCAGCGATCAGCGATTTGGCTGAGAGCGGCGCCCAGCACAGCAACTTTGGTTCCTAGTGCCTCATTGTCAGCAGGTCACATAACAGTGTTGTGCAGAGTTTGATCTTATGTTCCCCAGCAGAGGGTCCTGTTTGTTGTGTGTAGGTTGTTGTTTCCCACATTCATGGTGGAACACTGCATGCAAGCACCGTACAGCTGAAGGACTGGTCTGAAAGTATAATAGAAGACCTTGGGGACTGATATATGTTGTCGGCTAAACTGGTTAGTTATTCCCTGACACCACATAGCAGGGTTCATGTAGGTCCTCATTGCTTCTGCAATATGAAGCCCTATCAGTTGTATGCCGTTAACCTTTACTGAGGTGAGCATAGAGCCTAACCACTCACCAAGGCAGCTTGGAGTGAAAAGCTTCCAGGAGAATCTGTATTTGGTTGATAAATGTTTAAAAAGATAATATTTTAGACCTGCCATTTGGAATGTTGCTGTGAATTAATTAAAGGTATGACCTTTAAAGAGGACCAGTTAAGGGCACATGAAGTGCCCTTGTCACTGCAGGCTCAGAGGAGAGGAAGTAACTGCATGATCTGAGGAGCTCATGGGTTAATCACAGTGAGATTAACACCTTATTGTACAAATCTAGATTCTTCTTTGATATCTTTTGTACTTTAAACCATCATTAAGATTAAAGCCAACATCGCCCTGAGACCTGGAAGGTTAGCTGATACGTCTCAGGGCAGAGGAGGATTCTGGCTTGGTGGAGGGGGCTGGCTTCTGTTTCTCTGAGCAGGAACCCTGTTCCCCAGCTCTCTTCAGAAAAAATGAGAAGATGGGAATGGAGGTTGTGGTTTGGAGCTGGGGATTCAAATTAATCTTAAGTGGCTTTAAAAGCTGGTTATAACTTTGCTCTACTTCTGGGAAGCTTTCAAAAACAAGCACTGAGTTCAGTTAGAGCTTAAAAGAAGAAGTATTTTGGAGAAGCCTTTACTGATAGGGCAACACTGAGTGTGTTGTACCTGGAAGCTGGAACAAAGCAGGTGCCATGACATTTTCTGACCTGGTTTTTGTCCATTTCCTCTTTCCGAGATGTTTTTTCTTGCAGGTCCTGATCTTTCCCTTGTGTGTTTGTGCAGTTTCTGTTTATCAGCCATGGCTCACTTTGCACATTTTCTGTGGCCACCTCAGTCTCCTCCCTCTCCCTGCTTCCAGACCTTTCATATCAATCTGCATAGCTGCTGGTTTGTGAGCTGGCTCCAGGCAGGGACTTGCTGGTGCAGTCGCTCCAGTTCTGCTGCCCTGGTGCTGCGGTGTGGGGCTGTGCTGCCCTGCCTGCCTGCTGGCAGCATGTGCCAGCCCCGGAGCATTGCAGCCGGGCTGAGTCACAGAGGAAGGAAGATTCTGGCGGTGCCTTGGCCCTCATTGTGTTTCTTGTGCACCGGGAGCAGGCGCTGGGTTGCTTGTTGCTTATCTCATCGGTGGGAAGGTGCCGGTTGTTTACTGATACGAACAGGGACTTTCTGTGCTATTGAGACTGAAATGAAGTTCCTGCTGAGTATTTTCATCTTGTGTGTGCCTTCAGGAACCTGTTTGTACGCAGTGAGCTCATGTAGTTGGAGCATGGCCAGTCTGAGGGTTTGGGTTTCTTCCCAAGCCTGGTATCCTTGGAAAGGGTATTTAGATCTCGCATGTGTCTGTCCACAGAAATCCATCAGCCGTAATGCTAGATGCTGGTGAAGTCATTTATCTGATTGTTGCTGAAGTCCAATTGTTGGACTTCAGTCTGTTCTCACGTAAACCAGATCAATCCTCTGAGGTCTAGGGGTGTTGAAGCGGCCATGCTGGAGCATGGCTGGCAGTGAGGGCAGTGTGTTGGGTCAGGCAGGTGCTCACCCACCTGTGAGTTTCTTTACTCACCAGAATATGTACTGAGTGCACATAAAATGTCTTTTTCATCTCGTCTATCTCTTATATATGCTGTATTAGTCATGTATATTACAGCCATTACTTTAAAATGCCAAAAAAAATGTGGTGGCCATTACTGTGTTTAGCCTTTCCCAGATAAGCTGGTTCCCAAGCAGTGAGTCTCAGAGAACATGTGAAAGTCTGACATGGGTTTTTTGACTAGAATGTTTCCATATCCCACACTTCAGCCAAGCGCCTATCTCCAATGTTCCCCAAGGTACTCATGACAGTTGGCACTAGGCTTTTACGCAGCAAAGTTTCCGTGCAGGAGCATGTCAATCTGGAGGCTAGTAATACTTGAGGAGAAATGTCACATTTTAGCTAGTGAAAAAGGAATTCTTGGACTCCAGTGAGGAATTTACTGGACATAAAGTGGGATTCATCATTCAAGGCACTGCAGTATTCACAGACAAGTTAAAGTCTATTGCATAGACTGGCACTCATGTTAGAGAGGGAGTGTGAGTATTATCTTAACCCTCATGACAAGTGGTATTTCTGTAATACCTCTGAATTAAATGTGAACCATCCTTGAGCAGGAAAACCCTGGCTTTGGGCTCTGTAAGTCACATGAGCCCTTCTCAGCTTGTCAGATTTGAGCACCAGTAGAAAACAACAGGGAAAACTTTTTTCTGAATCGCAGATAATGGGACAAGGAGTGAAAAGAAGGTAAATGGAGGAAGAGTAATTTCAAAACCAAGTGTGGGAAGGGGGTGTGTGGGGGGGGGGTGTTTTGTTTTCTAAATAACCCAATTCCAGCAGCTCCCTACCACCAGCTTTTGAAAGTGGGAGTGCTTCTTGTGTATAAACTGCAGCAGCTCTGGGGTCGAGCGGGGAGGTGAAGCGTGGTTCAGGAGCAAGCCTGTAGTCCTGCAGACAGGGCAGGAGCCAGGCCTCTTGCAAATAACGCTATACTTGAACTCTTAACTATATGGATTTGCAGGGTTTCCTTATGTTTCCTGTAGATTGAGGTAGTTTTGAAGTTGTGAAAATACAGTTTCTTGCTAGAGAACAGGGTTTAAGCTGCCTGGGAACAGTTGCTTTGTAAAGGAGGAGGTTAAAAGGCGTAATCATGATAATTTTCAGGAATGCTTAAGTCCCTTTTTGTGTAATAAACCCCCTTGAGATTTTTGTAATCTATTAACAAAGTGAATCTATTTCAAGTAATTGATGCTGCTTTTGCGACTTAGAGTGGGTTTACTTGTGATTTCTTCTTGGTGGTTGGCAAGTGGTTTGTTTTAAGTTGGGTGGGAACAAATGGCAGTATTAATTACCTCCTTCTTTAGGCAGTCTTTCCATGGCTATTCCCTTGTTTGCAGCTGCTTGTTCCTGGGAGGTCAGTTCTCTCGTGTGTCCTGTCTCATTGCACAGCTCTTGTGGCACCTCCTGGCCTGAGCTGGGTCAGCTGGCCGTTGTCTCAGCCTCACTGCTGGTTGACCACGTGTGTTTCATTGCTGGAAATGGTCATGCTATGTCTGCCTCCTCCTTAGTTTGAAGCAGGATTGCATTGGGAATGGAAATGGAAATTCTCTTCAGATTTTTCAGTTAAAAACAAAACCCAGACTGCTTTTAAAGGCCAGCTTTTGCCTACACAACCTGAATATTTAACTTGTGGAGCACCAAAAAAACTGATTAAAAAAAAATCCCAAAACCCAGAAGCAGGATTTTTGTCCTGGTTTTAGAACTTGTAGTTAAATTCATCATTCTAGATAAATATTGTTTATTAATTTCATATGTGTGTATGTATGAATTAAATTCAGATGGAGTCAGAGGGAAACTGAAATTAAAATGAGGAATTATCTCTTTGTTGAATTCCTTAGAAATTTCTCAGTTACTAGTATCAAGGATCAGATGGTAAGAGCTGTATGGTAAGCCTTTTCCATGCTGTTACAACGAGTGGGAAAACCCCACAGCCATGGTAGCTGTACCCATTCCTCAGTTACCAGAGGTAGTAACGAAGCAGGAGTGAGAAGCGGGTGGGAAGAATGGTGGAAGGGGTGGTGTGGATGGTGCCCTGCTCACTGCTCCCAACCTCTGGCTGTAGCCTCACTCTGTGTGTGTTACCTTTTGGAAGTAATAGCAATAATTGCCTGATTCTAAAAGGGTATTGAAGCAGGAGTTACTTGTAAATACGGACTTTGAATTTAAAAAATGAAGCACTGCATGCAAATGCCAAAGTATATACTTTGAAAGTGCTAAAACAACAGGATGGAGCTATCATTGAAGTCAATTTAGAGCTTTCTCAATGAGAAACAACATGGCATCTCTCAGAATTGTTGTAACTCAGTTTTTGGGGGCAGCCCTTGTCCTCAGGACTGCTCCCAGGCCACTCATAGGACCAAACTGAAAAATAAGCCTGCAGGTTAATGATTCATGTGCCCTTCTTGTGACCAATGTGAAGGTCTTTGATAGTTGAGCTGCATCATTTGTGGGAGATAAAAAGTCAGATACCCATATGACCTCACATGCAGAGATCAGTCAGGGCTGTCATGTTCTCTGAGGCATCATCACGTTTCCTGTCTGTGTCATTTCTATGCCTGTTACTGTTTCAAGTGTAGATGGAAATGCTTAAGAGCTTATGGTATTAGAAGGGAGCTGTTGGCTTTACACTGAAGTTTGAGGAATAACTTGCTCTATTCTAATTCTGTCCTTGATTTCTTGCATCACTTGACAGTTGGTATTTAACTGCTCTGTTTTTCCCCAGGACAGAAACAGGATTAACACTGCCTTACCTGGTAGAAAGGATTTCCTTAATTCCCAGTGAGAGGGCCTTACACTGTAATGCACATGTGTGTAATGACTGAGATGCCACAAAGTTGGCAGTAAAAAGTCTATGGTGATCATTGTTTGTTACTGGTGTAGTTTTGTCATCCTCATTAAAGCTGCTGTACTGTGTATGTCATTTCTAGATGTGAAAGACTCGAAGAGCAGCTAAATGACCTGACTGAGCTCCATCAGAATGAGATTCTCAATTTAAAACAGGAGCTGGCCAGCATGGAGGAGAAAATTGCCTATCAGTCTTATGAGCGAGCCCGGGACATCCAGGTGGGTGACAGAAGCAAGGAGACTCAAGTCCTGCCTTCAGCCTGTTCTTTCTGTAGCTCATTCCCTTTTGAAAGACTTCTGTGGTTCAGTATTTGGTTTTAATCCTCGTAGCTTTATTGCTAACCTGCATATGGAGAGTTCTGTAAGGGCCTTTATTCCACCTCTGACCCTCTGGTATCTCTCCAAGGAACTTCTCTTGTGATAGCTGTGCCCGCGCAGCAGCAGCAGGCTCACCTGCAGGGGAGCCTTCCCCTCCCTCCAGAGCAGCAGTTTTAATTCAGGTGTAGCGAAGTGGAAGCCTGCAGCCATGTTTTGCACAGGCCGTGTTTGAAAGGCAATGGGACGTGACCTAAGCACCTTTTTTACAGTAGTATTTCCACTTAGCAGGCCCTATGGTATGTTCCTGTGTCACTAATTTTACAGCAGTGGTCACATATAGCTAAGGGAAAATGGCTTTGGATATCCACTGCATTGAGTCAAAAAACAATTATTTCTGCTGGTTTTGCCCAAACAAGGAGGTGTTTTTAAAAGAGAAATTTCTTTCAGTACACACAAGACCAAAGCTATGGAAACAGAGGTAATGAAGTTGTAGGGTTTTCCACAGAGCAAAAGACGTGGGAAATTATCTGGGCTGATGCAAAATCTAAAGAAGAAAGGCCTGTTCAGAAATGGGTCTATCATCCATTTTAAGCGCTTGTTGTGCTAGTTTTAGCAGGCATCTCTGTTCTGATTGCTGATGTGGGATATTTATACGGGTGAGCTGAGCATTGTGGGCCAGAGTTCTTCCTCTTTCCAACCCCTGGAGGTGCTGCAGCCAGGTGATTTCCTCTGCAGACAGAGCAGGCTGTGCTTTTGGCACGCTTGTAGATCCAGCTGCAAGTCAGGTCAGGTCCATGTCCTTCCAGGCTGGCTGTGGTTAGAACAGGCTGAGCAGTTTTGCCCTGTGCATTCATGGGCTGTTACTGAAGAGAAGCCCTCATGTTTCATTGACCTCCACTGACATGATGCAGTGACAGAGAAATGTAACAGGTGACAATGACCTTTAGGATGAGGTTAAAATAAATCAGTGTCTGTGGACACTGGTGCCATGGCCTCTGATAGAGTAAACAGGAGCCTTTCCCTTGGGGGAGTGTTACAGTACTCAAGTTTTGTTCTCCTCTCCAATTTAACATGGCAGGAAGAAGTAAGGTTCAAAACTTAAATTGAGGTGGGGATTTCTCAATAGTTTTTTAATCTTCACTAAAAGCACTGAATCGTAAAGCATGAACTTGCAAACAGGGCCAGACTATTCCTCAGCATTGCTGGGGAAAAGGTTAAGTGCTGAGTTTTCTTGCATGAAAAACTAGTTAAGAGCGTGGGCTGATGCTGCAGAGGACCGGAGTCCTGGTTCCTTTTGCAGTGATCAGTCTGAGAGAGACTGCTACTTGCTGCAGATTTCTAGATGTTACCTGATGGTGGCCTTTATGTCTGAGAAAGGTAACACAGAGGGGAGCGTTAACGGGAAAGTTGTAGCTTGGTATCTCCAAGAGCAGAAATGTCTCACTGCATTAATTGCCTTAAAACCTCTCTTCTCCCTAGCCCACCCACTGCATGTCATCAGTGTTGTATTGTGGATTGGGTTGGTCCTCTTGAGGTTCAACATGGTGAAATATCCATAAACAATCACCCCCAAGTCAAAAGTTCAGAGATGCTTTGTCCAGGATAGTCTCTTTCTTCCACATCATTTTGGTTTGCCTCTTCCTAGGGGCAGTTTCATAAATCTCATGCCTCTTACCCATCTCCTAGACAGCTTCCTTCTGCAGGCCTTGCAGTGTCACCCAGAGCTATGGCAATGCCACACCATGCTGCTGTGCAGCCCCAGCCTTAGTACTGCTCAAACCTTTCCCTGAGCTCACGCTCACTAAGCAAGCAGAATGTGGCCAAGCCTTTTTGGTTAGTTGTTTCTGTTGACTTAGTTTTCTGCCGGGTTGACTAGAGAATTGAATGGGCTTACAGAAGGGTTGGATAAACACAGGCAAGGAAAGTAATGAAAATGAGAGGCTCTGAGAATGTGCATCCCAGAAGAGGAGGAAGAGTGCTTGCCAGACACGGTACCTTTGTCCCCTCAGTGGCCCCTTGAAACCAAAGCAGGAGTGAGCAGCCCACCAGGTAACCCCCCCCCCCTTTCTGGACAAAAGCTGATTGCTGAGGGCTGTCAGCATCCTGCTCCCTCTGGCTCCCATGGTAAGGCAGGAAGGATGGTAAGGTCTCAGGTGACCACTGCACCACACATGCAGGGACAGGCAGCTAGCTGACAGTGCAAAGTGGCAGCTGAAGCTCTTAAGGAAGCCTGATTTGTACCCAGCTTGTCACCTTTGTCAAGCCTCTCTGGGGTAAATGAGATGGTGCATTGCAGACTGCAGCACCTTAGTTAACAAGGGGCTCCTCACCCTCCTTGGCACAGCTTCCTGCCCTCCTGCTGCAGGATATGAGATCAGTGCAGTGACTCATGTCCTGCTTAAGGAGGGTGGCCCTGCTCTGGCCTTGTTGGTAAGGTCACAGCCATGGGCTGGCCACCATGGGGTGGCCTGTGGAGCACTGGCAACCCAGCGGTGTGTTCTTGCTGGCAGGAGGCACTGGAAGCGTGCCAGACCCGTATCTCCAAGATGGAGCTGCAGCAGCAGCAGCAGCAAGTGGTGCAGCTAGAGGGGCTGGAGAACGCCACGGCCAGGAATCTGCTGGGGAAGTTCATCAACATCCTCCTGGCCGTCATGGCCGTCCTCCTCGTCTTTGTCTCCACTGTGGCCAACTGTGTCGTGCCCCTCATGAAGACTCGCAATAGGACGTTCAGCACTTTATTTATAGTGGTTTTCATTGCCTTTTTGTGGAAGCACTGGGACGCCATCACCGGCTACTTGGAACGGTTCTTCTCTCCCTCCAGATGATGGCGGCAGGAATCGGCTGCGTCGCATCCCCAAGCGCTCTTGGTGAGCTCATGTGGCAAAGATTAGTCAGCAGCTACTGCGCTGAAGTTTTAAAGTGTCCGAGTGAATTTGTTTACATTTAGAATAAAGTTTTTTCTCTGCAAGACGCATTGCAATAGTATTTTTTAGATTTTATTCAAGAACTTTTTGGCGAGAATCCTGGATAATTTTTATGTAGCATGGTTCTCTTTGGATGCAAATCTTAAGATTCTTTAAAATGTACAAAAGAAATAAATAAAATACAGAAATTTGGAGCATACCAATGGGCAATTTAAATTGTGGCTTGAACTACTGTACTAAACCTGTCAGGAAGAAGAGAACGTGGTTAGCTTAAGATACGCAAAGCTAAATCTAGTGCACAGCCTTGAATGATGGTACCACAGCAAACCTGTAACACTAAACCTTTACTGTGAAGTCTGCTCACATTCCATGTCCCAGTGTATGCGTTCAGAGTGGTTTCTTTCCTTAACAAGAGAAAAACAACGACCTGTGGATCTCCTTCCCAGCTCAGCGTCTGGGTTCGCCGTTTGTGCTAACCTGACTTACAGTAACTTTCTCTAAGGCTGCCTAACTTGGCTAAGCAAATGAAGTGGAAGCCTCATGCCATACACAGTAACTGCACAGTCGTGCTACAGTATTTTGAAGTAGTCCTTGAAATACTTACCTTTAAGCAGAAGCCCTTGGTCGCACTTTTAAGGTTTTTTTTATATGTGTATAGTCACAGATTAAAAAAAAAAATCCAAACAGCATACTTGAAGAGTGTAATACTCCAACTCTCAGTGCTTCCTTATTGTTTCTAATAGGAGTTTTTATTATAATTATTATTATTATTATTATTGGGGTTTGGTTGTTTTGGTTTTGTGGGGTTTTGGTTTTTTTCTTTTTTTTTTTTTTTTAAGGGGTTGGGAGGGTCATTATTTTTTTTTTTCCTTTTAAATAAAGAAGTGATGTTTTTAAATGAAGAAATGCGTGAACAATTGTGAGCCGTCTTGTCCTGAAACAGTTTTGAGGATGGCAGAGGGTAGTTTCTAGTGCCAGCCTAGCTGGAGTGCAGCGCTGTTCCTATGCCATTTATCTGCCTCCTGAGTGTACAGATGCAGCATCATGAGTAACATCTGTCTCCACCCATCGTTGTCATGCAGGGCTTTTTTCCCCTCTTCCCTTTTCCAGATGTGAAGGAGAGTGTGTTTATATTTATCATTTGCTTGTCATCAGTCAATCCTGGCCTCAGGATAAGAATAAGGAATTTTTGTTCATTCCTTCCTGGGGAAAAGACAGGTTCTTTTAAGGAAAGAAATACTAAATCAACAGCCCACTTAAAAGAATGGTTGTCTCAGAAGTATCTTATTTAATTTTTAAATAACCCCCTAAAAAGTGAAACCAAAGTTTTCCTCCTGTCAGGCTCTGGTAAGTTTATTTGTGTGTCTGTGTCAAGGTCTTTGTACACTGTATTTATGTGGTGTGCCATAGAGAGCATCCTCTTTCTCAGCCATGAGGGCAGGTACTGGGTGTAGATACCTTTCCAAGGCTCTAAAGGAAATGTCAGCTTAACTGTAACTCTCACATCCCAACAGGTTATCACCACATGCTGCTGGTGGTGATCTGCTAAAACTGGCAGCCACGCTTCGTGTGCGGGGAAGCTGCGTTCACTCTGTGTTGTTTTTTTAACTGGTGTCCCTTTCACCAAGCCAAGGTTCAACTTTGTCCCCATGCAATCCAAAAAGACTCCAGGATTCTCTTTGAAAGTTAGATCTTATCTTTAAATTAGGTCTTACTTTTCCTTCTTTCCAGGCTTAAGTTCCTTTTAGGAACCAGATATTGCCCAAGTGACCTAAACCAGTTGAAGTCATACCTATACATATATGGAACATGCACATCATTTAGTGTGAGGTGTCCCTGCCCGTAGCAGGGGGGTTGGAACTCGATGATCTTAAGGTCCTTTCCAACCTTAACTATTCTATGATTCTGTGATCACATGTAGACACACAGAAGCCTGGGGTTTTGTGCTGTGATGCAAGTTCTGGGTTCTGAGAAATTCCCTTAGAGTACGTAAACAACTTTGAGGGTCTCTGATTGCGAGCAGGGACAAGCCCTCCTCCATCCCACCATCCTTCTCCCTTCGGAGATGCTGTGTTTTGTCTATAATCACAGGAAACTCAGGTACCCCCTCCCCAGGGACCCGAGCACACCCCTGTCACTATGTGCACTATCTGCTCCTGTCCTACTTAAAACACAAATTGCCAGTTGCAACTGACTCAAGCCAAAAATAATCAGCTTTCTACAGAGTTGTCGATAGAGCAAAGATTGCATAAATATTCCCTCCCTCTGCCATGCTTCTAGATCCAGGGAGATTCTGTTCTGTTTATTACCCTTCTTGGGCTGATTCAAATGATACAGGTAGCTATCATTTTCCTGTTATGTAGTTTTTATCAGAAACAAAGGTGTGAATAACTCTTAAGAACTAGTTTGGCACATGACTTTGTTGCCTTTATTTCTGAAACCCTGCCGTTGCACCCATTTTTCTCAGATTTGATCACTGTAGAATTGCTCAAGCAGGAAGGAGTTGAGAGCCAATGGATCTGGACACGCAGTGCCACTCATCTGTAGTATTTGAAGGAAGTGTTTGTCCCTCCTTTTGTTTATATCCTAATTTAATTCAGTGTCTAAACTCTGTGTAGTCTTCAGTACATACCACTTGCTACTCTGCCAGAAGGCGCAGGCTTAATAGAAACGTATCACCTCAAAACTGTTTGGTGAAGGCCATGTACATATGGTTCTGGACAATGTCTGTCTGTCTGTCTGTCCCTTTCTCTCTCGACAGTTTCTTCCATTCCAGAAAGTTGTCTGCAGTAATGCCATTATGATGCTGCATCCACTTCTCATATCCCAACACAACTGCCATGTGTTTCACCTTTTGCATTAGCAGAATGTTTTGGGGTTTTTCTCCCTCTTCAATTTGAAGGTCTGTGATGATTTCTGATAGCTTAACAATGATTATATTGTTGGAAATGTGATTCTAGCTTTAAAGCTCCCTTTCTTTGTAAGTGGTTGTGTTTGCTTTCTTGATGAAGTGTTTCTGGATGATGCGTAGAAGACAGTTCCGCTACGGGTGCGTGAGTGTGTGTGTGAGTACCTTTCATTCGCCTTCCTTATGGATGTAAACTTTTTAGTGACCATCTCTGAGTTGCAGAATGTTTCCCAAAACATTTTGTATTCAGAGTTGAAACTATTCTGAAGTTGCTTAGATATGTTTAGCACATAACAACTTGGCTTATACAAAGGGAAGAAGAAAAGAGTTAGTTCAAAAAGCAGCAGCTTTTCATCAAAATTGGGATTCAGATAAATTTCATCCATGTCTCTCAATGTAAAGAACAAAGAAAATCTTGATGCAAAAAAAAATTTACCATTTTAAATTTTACCAAGTTTTCTCTCAGGTTCATTAGTTTAGTTTAATGTTACTCAGCATGCTCACAGCAAGTACTGAATTGGGCTGTTCCAATCCCATGAGTTCTTAGGGTCTGATCAGATTCAGTGTTGATTTCTGTACGTGTTGCACTGGGGCAGAAAAACACTGTCTCTCAGCTTTGAAAATAGGGGGGGAGGTATTATTATTAATATTATTATTATTAAAAAAGCAGCATTATAGCAGAAGAAGCCAAGCTACAAAGGGGCTCAAGATTGGATCATCTTGCCAGTTTTTAAGTGAATTCTGAATATGGCTAAAGAGTTAAACCTCCTGTGTGTCTGTGTTGTGTATGCCAGGTGGTATAGTAGTAGGCAATTGACTTAGCTGTAAGTGTGGTTTAAAAGTGTAAAAAAATAAACAGAAAACTCACTTGCACGGGTTGAAAAGTACAGAAATGACACTTGTGAACGTAACACTGTAGTTATAGATCTTAAGCTGCTAATTGTTGAGAGAGATTTACATTTGTCTTGTCTGATTGTCACAGATTTATCTGTGACACTTTTACTGTATATAAAAAACTTTAAATAAAGACCTCAGCTATTAATACTGGCCAGTCTGGATGTTTCTAAAGGGATGGGGAGGAGAGAGGGTGCTCAAGAGGGAAGTGGGGGGTGTTAAAGCTGTGCTGAGCCCTCAAAGCTTAAAATTTGGGCAAGTTCTCCTTAGATCCTGTCATCCACCTCCATCCTATAATCAGCTATGCACCACCATTGGCTGCGTTGTTTGATCTCTGCGGGCAGAGGAGGAGGAAGAGCAGCACTGCATTCTTCCTCATCATTTCCTTCCAGTTCACCTGGAGTCTGGGAGCCTCTCCACAGCATCACCACCATTCCCATTCCCACTCCCACCGATGCCAACTTTGTTAAGGGGAAACGGACCACATCATTTTCTCTGTTTGCACAAAAAGATGGAAGTGCTCTAAGCCCAGCAAGAGCTCAGAAAGCCAAAGCAGCTGCTTGCAGCAGCAAACCCCAGTTTCCCCACAACCAATGCTAATTCCAGCAGGTTGTGGATGAGGCAAGTGCATGGTGCAAGTGCATCTAGCATCTTTTGCTACAGCTGCCTGGCTCTAGACAGAACATGGTGCTGGGTGTGAAGTATGATGCTTCTGCATGCTTTTGGGGTAATCACCTGGTCCGTGCTGGTTTGACTTGGTGTGGTTGTTGAACGTGGCTCAGGATCAACAGGACATGATGACTGAGGGTGAAAGCAGTGGCCACCTCCCACGCCAGCATTCTAATCCTGTAATTCAGAGGATTAGGAGTCCTTACACATTTTTTCAGTTATCCTGTGGGAAGTGGTGTGATAGCTCCACCCAGGCCCGGGAGGACAAACAGGAATGTGGCAAGGGTACAGCCATGCTGGCCTGACACGGTGGAGATGAAGAATCGGTTGATCGTTCCCACTGGAGCAGTTTTTCTGATGGGTCAGATCAGAACACATTGAGGTGTTGGTGGTGGAAACGGGCAACCAGACAGCTCCCTACCACACTTCTGGCTTCAAACTGGTTTTTAGCAAGCGCCAAATCCACTGTCTCCTATAAAAGGCAGTGGTGGTTGGTGGTTTGTTGGCCTCAGTGGAGCCTCCCCCTATGACTGAAGTCAGCAGAAATGGGAAGTGGGTTCTCTGCTGCCTGAGTTAGCATGCAGCAAAATATCCCAGGGCAAACCAGCTCTGCTGGGTTGTTCATTCTCTACCCAGATGCCCCTGGGCTTAAGAGTCACCAAGGCATGGCCTTTGTTCCAGCCTTGTGCCGGTCCTGTCCCAAAGGGACACAACAGGAAATGCTGATG